TCAATCTTTATGGGCATGCCGACCTAATTAGTGCATGCCCATAAAGTATAACATTGACAGGTAGGTACTGTCTGTACTACTAAGAAATTCAGGACTTCATAAGCGTGATTTTTACTGACAGCTGTCGCAGAGATCAAGCTATCTTTTATGAACTATAGTGAGGAGTTGCCCTAAACATCGCTTACCGGTTACAAAATTGCCACTCAAGAAACTTTCTTCCCCATCGATTGTCAGTTCTTCGTGCTATATGGCCGGCCCATTGCCATTCGCATTCAACTTACTAATTCGTTGAGCGTTGAGAATTACTTTTTCTTATGCAGAAAATCTCCGAGCAAAGGTCTCTCAAGAGCTCACTGATCGACTTTGAGCTTCCTAATACGGCCCGCTGTGAAAGACCACATGGCAGATTATTATGTCATCAGTAAAACGAAAATACAGATTGATGAACTGGATTTTATTTTCAACTAAAAACTAAGCTTATATTTGAAATTAACTTGAATCCATAATCCAAAGACGAAGAAAAGACCCTCAAGCTTATCAGTACCGGAAAATAATAATGTAATTTATAGTGACTTTTTTATACGTGGTAGAGCCATGCTGCAGTTATATTTGTAGTATAGTTGTAGCACAAATGTGTCGGCTCAACTGGGGAAGGACCACGCTCTCACAGAATACCAGCGTGAAATAGTAGCTTAACGCTGCTGTTTCGTATGGTGAGTGTAGAGACCGGAGACCCTTTTTACTGGAAACGAGGCATTCCATCTTGGTCCTCACGGGTGACAACGCATCTGCATTTTGAAATGTAATCGAGTATAGATGTAGATGTCTATGGGTCGCAGCAACTGCTTACCATCAGGTAGATTGTGTGCTCGAGAAATAAATAGAAAAATTACACCATAGCATAAATACTTTCCACAACACACACAACACACACACACACACACACACACACACACACACACACACACACACACACACACACACACACACACACACACCACACAACACGAGGCGCGCGACCGCACGCACACAATTTAATCTTTACGTATGCGCAATTTTATATGTATCTAAAATTGTTATGGAAGAGCGTGGTCCCCTAACACAGGTATTGATATACTTAAAAGGAGACCCCAGCCTAGTTAATGTCCCCCCCGAACGGGTTCCCGCCTTGTCGTGGCGGGGGGGCTTAGTAGCCGTGGCTTGGTCTCCCACGGTGAACAAAGAGGAACCCACGTGGCTGGCCCGAGGTGAAGGGCCGGCCTGAGGTGGCCACTCCGAGTGGGCTTGGGGAGCCCACTTCGGATGTGTGCTGGTGGACTGCAGCGAGTGGGGACCCCGCACCCTCTACCGCTGCAGCCGAGGTGGAGTCGCGGAGGAAGAGGAGTGTTGGTATGGCGATGCGCCACTCGCCCTATCCTCCGCGACTCAAACGGGGCCGCACCGTTGATGCGGTGGTGATAGGGCTGCGGGGGGAGAGGATTGTCGGTATTGCGAGACGCCGCTCTCCCTATCCTCCGCAGCCGAATCTTGGTTGGCGGCGGAGCCATAGACCAGATCCGCCGCTGGGGTCGGGAAGGCTAGTATTTCTAAGTGCTTGTTTTTCCTGGCCCCATGGCTTTCGCGCATCGGACGCGGGGGCGTCTGTTGCGCAGATGCAATTGTAGGCCGTGGAGGAAGGCGTGCCATGTGTTCTGGTGCGCCTTACTTGGGAAGGAGAACGGGGAGGAATATTCCTCTCCCGAGGAGGTGCTGCCATGGGGCGGCAGTCGCTGGTAGGGCCACGGAAGTGTGCGAAAGCGTTCCCGTAGCCCTGCCAATGTGCGACGAAGGTGAAACACCATGGGGTTTTAGTCGGTGCGAGTCCAACATAACCCGTCCTTGCCCCCGCGAGGCGGGTATGCGTAGGCATTTCCCCGTGTTAAAAAAAAAGCCTAGTTAATGTATTTAAATTTAAGTTACTGAATAAAGAATTTTGAAATTTGAATTTTTTTTTTGATTTTTATAACTCTGAATGTAAAAAATATTAAAAATAAAGTTACAACCTATATAAGTCCCACGGCTGGGCACAGGCCTCACCTTTTTTCTTATTCCTCCGACATGCAGGTTTCTTCACGATGTTTTCCTTCACCGCCGAGCAAGTGGTAAATCAGTACTTAAAATTGCAATTAACATTTTCATTGGTGCCGGCGGGGATCGAACCCGGATTACTTGCGTTCTGTTATATTTACAGCGAGCGTTAACCATCTGAGCTAACACGGCTCTTTAATACTATAAAAAGTATATAATAATATAAAAAAATAATGTAACTTTCAATGGGGAGGAACTGAGTCTTGTTGATACTACCATTTTTCTTGGAATCACAAGGGACTATTTCTGCTGCATTTGCTGTAAAATGGATTAGAAGTCTTACCAATGTTGAAACAGCTAGACTAGTTTACTCTAGCTATTTCCATAGCATAATGCCGTATAGTATTTTGCTATGTGCGCACGACTGACACTGAAAGTATATTTGTTTTACAGAAGAGTGCTATTTGAATAATCTATGACTTATGAGCAAGGAATTTGGACTCTCAATACGTTTATGAAAATTTAATCTACGTGCGTAAAAAGAAAAGTACTTTTACAAATATAAGTGATATTAATTCTACTACTACTAGTTACTCGACTCCACCGAGTCGTACGGCCACGTCAGAGTCGCGGACGATAGGGCAAGTGGTGCACCGTTATATATTTTAGCTTAATAATTAATAATAATAATTAATAATATTTAATAATTTAGAAATAAAAAGTTAACTATGTAATTATTCTTGTTACTGATTTATCAACAAGTATCTTATCTGAAGATACTAAAGTCGTTCGTGAAATGATATAAACGTCCTATTTATTGAGATCCGATAAAAGAGGAAAATACTTATATTTAAAATATAAACACATTTTAAATATATAGCATTATTATAATATTCTTCATCATCATCATCATTACAGCCCTTCACAAGCCCACTGCTGAACGTAGACCTACTCTAAAGAAATATCACATGCCACGCTCCTGCATCCATCGACTTCCTGCGTATCTTACTAGGTCGTCCTTCACAGCAGGCCATATGAGGAAGCTCAAGGTAGCTTAGCAAGCTTTATATGAGCTTGTTTCGTTTAAAGCAAGCTTTAGAATTTTCTCATGTTTTGTGGGAAATACTACTTTGTTTTACCTAAAACTATATAAAAATACAAATATTTATTTTTAATATTAGTAATAAATCAAGAACATGAAAATACCAACGCACACGCTAAAACACACTTTACAAGCATCGCCATGAGTTACCTTTTTAATGTTGTCATTAACTGACATAAGATGTGAGATAAGCACTTAATCTTTCGCCAGAGATATTAAAATGTATTGAATTACCACTGTGTGCATTTAGAATTTAGCACAAAGCAGCAGTCCATTGCAAGAAATATATTAAGGGGATCACGAGATAATCAATTATTGTCATCATCATCAAAACTTATGGAATTTGAGAGCTTAGCTATCCAGTTATATATATCTTATATTTAAATGTTGTCCGTCTCACATCTACGATCGTTATATTTTAGAGATAAAATTTAAAAGATATAGTTTGTCCTATATAATCCTGGGGCTTATAGATCCTATATTTATGTAGGACTTTTATTTTTTTTAATGTCCCAATTGTGTTATTTGCTAAGCGTGTCGTAAAAGGCAACGAATGGGATATTGGGTTTATGATTTAGCAAGTGAAAGGTTGGTAGGCCACACATTACTTTTTTCACAATCTTCAACATAAATCGATATTTTTTGTAAAGATATTAATAGTAACTTTGTAACCATCCGCTCAATTAAATGATGTGTCTTGCTTAGTTTGAAGAGCACCTCCCGCCTTTCTTCAATTGCGTGCACTAATCTCGTCACCACTAATCCCAGTACCACTACTCCCAACACCACTACTTCCAACAACACTATTCTAGGAAAGACACACCATCGACGATAATACGACACGTGTTTCTTCTCTACACGAGGCATCTTCAGGTGATGTAGACCGTCTGACCGCTAAGTACTGTAGTTAGTGTATCAGTGACATTAATATAAAGATGCATGATTATCAATTATACAATGCTTACGTACTCGCAATAGAAATTAATATGACACGTTTTATCCATAACTAACCTAAAGATAGTTCAAAATTCCAATAAGCCATTTATGAATAGTGGCACAGTGGTGGCGTAAGAGAATCCACTACCTTTGTCGTCCCATGAGTGTCGCAACGAGAGGTAACAGTGGGAAACTGAAACTGGCATCAGCATGCTAATGATAAAAACTTAAGATAATTAAAAATTGCTAACCTGATAAGAGTTATATCTACGGCCAATACCCCTTATAAGACAATCAATGGGGAGACATATTAAATTCAGTAATAGACTTTTGAGAGGCTGTAATTGGTGAATGAATGAACTATTAATGAATGAATGAACGATTCAAGAAATGAATGAATTATGAGCTAAAGTACGAGATGAATCAATAATATCATGACTTAATATCTAAATAATTATTAAGCCAAACTAAACACAATAGTATATTATTTATCTTATTCAGTTATTCAAATTACACGTAATAGTTAATTCTAAAATTATCAATATTGAATAAACAATTATCTGTAATTTGAATAATCAGAGTGCCGACTAGAAACATTACAGTAATTTAAAGAATCAATCTATGATGAAGGGCTATGCCTGGCAGTGGACTTGTGATAGACAGTAACTGTAATAAATATTGTAAAATATTTGAATTAAAAAAATCATCTGACTTATTATAAAATAAAACAATAAAAAATGACAATAATTTAATAAAAATGAATTACTTTACATACATTAATTTATTTATATTTTATAACTTCTTTGTAAAATCACACTCATATTCAACTAATGTTCAAACACAATATAAATCGGCCACTTGTTTTAATGTACCTCAATTACTATGGCACTATTTTTTAATAATAGTAGCCAGATGCTTCATCAAAAGCTGGTGATTTTTGAGGACCACTGAAATCTTCTCTGCCACCTGTTTGAGATAATTGACTAGTGGTATGTGCAGTTTGAAATCCTTGATTGTCCTGTACTCCTGTAGTTTGGGTAGTTGAAATGCCTTCTTTGCTCTTGGGTTTAAAGTCAGTACTTAGAGGTTTGAGCATTTCAAATCTTCTGAAATTAGAATCCGGCTGATATTGGACAGTATTTTGTGATGGCATTTGAAATCTCTGGCAACAAGGCTTAACTCTATCAGAAAATCCAAATGGAACGTTGTAATTTTTATTCCCTTGACTTTTTGTAAAAGCATCTGACGTGAATTTTGTTCCTTGCATTGACGATTCAAAATTCGATATTTGTGAATCGCCTAGAGGTTTTTGTTCCTTTTTTATGTTGTTTCTATTAAGTTGAAATTCTTGAAAAATTATTTGAGAGGTATTATTGTATTCATTTTGGTTTTCTCTTTGACTTTCTCTTTGAATAAACGATGGTTGGAGTTTCTGACCAAACTCTGCAAATCTGTTTTCAGTTAATGATCGATTCTCTTTTTCTGATTTTGAAGGAGTAGAAAATGAATCATCTGGTTTTTTGTATTCGTATACTTCTCCATCATATTGTTCACTCGGTCTATTACCAATATAATTAAATTGAGGAATTATTTGCTTAGTTGTTTGTTGAACAAAACCTTGGTTATTATGAGAATCCGTTTGATCTAATTTGTTATTTGATTGTTGGTAAGATGACTGTCCTAACGTGTTTTCTTGTGGTGAAGCTGTAGAAGGGCTAAGAAATAGACTCTGAGAGATATCTTGATTAAAACGAAAGTTGTCTGGTTTCTTAATATTTGAAATAGGTCCAAAGTTTGTCATAGAAGAAAGAGAGGGAAAAGGTGATATAGAGGCTTGAGTTATTCCAGTGGAATGAGATAAAAATCTACTTATGTCTTGATCTGTAGATTTTGATGGAGATGGAGTTATATTCGCAATTGTAGGGAGTTTTGGGTAATTTGCGGAAGCCCCATACTCGCCGTTTTGTGATGAAACTACATCATGGGGAGTATTTACATTTTCATTATATGATATTTTAGAAAAACTTGTCCTAGTAGATGGAATTGTAGGAGGCCTAGGATATTTATTAGAAATTTGAAATTGCATATTTAGATTTTTAAAGTTATTTTTACTACTCTGCATCAAATTAATGCTACCAGAATTGATATTTGGTAGAGCTTCTTCATTATTTTTATAAGAGGCCTCAAAAGGTTTTGAAGGTTGATTATAATAATAAGAATGATCTGAACTCTGATATTGCGACTTGTCATTAAATTTTGTTACTCCCTTGTTAGAAATATCTTGGAAGCCATTCGAGACCTGATGTGGCGCAATTGGATTTAACTGAATATTAACATTATCGTTAGATCTTTCATAATTAGAATGGGCTACATTATGAGGTTGAGAATTAGAAGTCGGAACTAACAAGAATGATGACTGAGTTGGAATTGGTACTTTTTGGTTTCGTTTTTGAAAAGCGATATTCCCTGCGGAATCTACAAAAGGTGTTGTTATTTCTGTATTAGGTTGAAAAGTTGCTTGCAGATTATTAAAAGTATCGGGACTGAAGTTAGGTTGTTTTTGAGAATTTGAATTTTTATTTAATTCAATGTCATTGAAAAAGCTATTTTGAAACAGATCGTGACTCTGAGAGTTTGAAATTTGACTATATTTGTCAAAATTATCTTTAAGAAAAGAATGAGGTTCAAATTGAAAGTCAACTTTTTGTTGACTCTTATTTCTTTTAATATCTTGATGTTCGTTAGGAGAACTCTTAAAATTTAGTTGTGTGGTAGAGTTTTGTGCGTTGACTCCCGGTGTATAACTAAAGTTTTGTCGTTGAATATTTGGTGGGGGTAAATATGAATTTTCGATCCCAAAACCTTTGTTTAGTGCTTGGTTTGGATCTATCGATCCAAAATATATAGGTCTTGAAAAGTCATCATCATTAGGTATTCCCTCCATATGGGTATTTTTATTAGAATTAACTTGATTCAAAGTATTTTGTGTTGAAATTGGTTCAAACACTGTTATATCACTGAATTGCTGCCCTGAAGTTTTCTCATTTTTGTTGTTAATATTTGCGTATGATTCAAAAGCATTATTTATATTTGTATCCTTTGGTGTATAATTAAAATACGGAGTAAGTTGTTCCTTGACATTTGGAATTTCAAATATCTGATGATTTTGACTAACGAATGTTCCACTTACATCGGCATCGAACTCGGTTTTTTTTCCTAAAGCAGATTCTTCGTTCTTATACTTGTTATAATCATTGTCACTTTTAGTGTAGTCGTTTTCAGCATTATACTTTGCAGCATCATACGACCCTGCAAATAAAATCGAAAGTTGTGCGTTATTAATCATGTTTACAACCAAGCTATATGTCAGATGACAAAGCATTTGTCAAACAATACAAAAGATATTTTAAGGTAACATGTAACGTTAACGGTGAATGACTGGAATGAAAACGTTAAATCAAATAATATAGACTGCAAGATAACTTAACGAATGAACATATTATTTTAGGAAAACCAATTAGTAATATCACAATCATTGCCATCAATGTCCGATGTTAAGCATAGGCGTCTCGATAGATTGCCTCATAACGGGGATATTAGTTATAGTAGCTATGCTTGGCAATCAGGCTGGCATCCATAGTTTTTTTTTTCTAGCTGTTATTATAATAACACTGCTACCTATCTCCTAGTTTGCTTGGCTCTGTCTCGCCTCTTAAGATACCCACGCGATTAATAATATACGGGTAATGGATATTTTTACACCACCACTACAGGGTCGCACGGTGAATTAAGTTTTATACAACAACGTTGTAATATTATCGTAAGTTTTAATATTACAAAAGAAAATTATAATTGGACTCTAATATTGATAAATAATGCAATCAATTGTATAAGGTGAACCAAGAATGAAAATATCGAAAAAAATTGTACATGGTTGTTTTCTAATATTATTAAGAAATTATCACACTCTATAGATCACCAATTAGCGGTATTTTTATTTGCAAAATGCTAAACAAATTTTTTACACTGGCAGTAGCCTTACCAGTGTAAAACGTTTACCAACCCACCGGCTTTAAATTTGTTTTCTTTTGTAAACATACTAGCGATACTCACCGACTTTGCACGGGTGATTTCTGAATATCAACAACAGTGCCACATATCGGGTTCAAATGTAAATCTAAACTATCTAGGGACCCATTCACGAAAAATTTCATGAAAATCAGTCAAGCCGTTTTTTAGTTTTAGCGAGACTAACGGACAGGAATTGACTTTTATAATTAGGGAAGAGATTGACATGAGAATTACCCTTATTGAAGAATGACCTGTTGAGACGTTAAGGAATTGATAAATGCGTTTACTGAGGTATTTGCTTTATTGCAATCTTTGAGGGCGGCCAATGTACAACAGTTTACTTGTTAAGGGCTGCCTGAATGTATATTGCTCGTGTCAAGGCAATAAGAATATTCACTACCCCATATCATCTGGAGGGTGTCATAAGAGACGATAATTGGAAACTGAAACAGGAGAAAAGCAGCAGAGAGAGAGAGCAGGGCAGTTAATAATAACAACTCAAAATCATAAAAAAGTGCTGTTGCCATCGCCTACGCCTAGCAAGCGTGTCAACTGTGGCAAAATTCTAGGGAAATTCTAGGGGGGGTCTACAGTGGACTTTTATATTCTGTAATATAATAAAAAGGATTATGCATATTATGATGATAATCAAAGAAAAGCTGTGATAATGTTTTGAAGACAAAAGTAACCACTATTTTGATAGTCGTTCTCCTCTGTGGGATCAACAACTCACCCCTTTTTAAATTAATGCGTAGATTATGCTGTATATGTAACACACACGTTCCCCATATTATTGTAACGCATTTTTAAAGGTTAAGTTAACTTTACTTTACAAGTGAAGGGTTGTCTAAATAAATACTCATTTAATGTTTAAATTAAACAGGAAACCATTATGTAGTGTATTATTTTGTCAAATATATTGTAATTTTTTAAACTACGACCTATTCATATATTTTTAAAATTAGGGAAAAAACATTTTATTGTAAAAAACAATTTTTGAAATATTTTTTGGATTATTCCTATTTTGTTTCCTAGCGTATGTATTACGCGAAACTTTATATTATATAACTTTTACTTATTTTGTCGAAATTCATTATAAATCATTGCTTAACTTTTATTATTTGTTTCTTTTTTTTAATCAAAGTATAAAGAGTATTTACCGTCATCCACTAATCCAGCAGCAGCTTCTTTTGCATTCTGTTCCAAAGACTTCAATATCTCATCAGGAATAGGAGGTGAAGTAGGCAGATGATCTCCAATTGGTTGGTAACCTCCTTTTCCAGCTGTATACGTTACTTTATACAATTTTCCATCGTCACCGGTATATGAATATCCACCTTGTACCTCCGCTCCATTTATGGTGACTCCGTTTTCCTCTGCTGTTATTCCATTGTCTGTTTGAAAAGCATAGTTGTAAGATTTAGGTCTTATTTCCTTTTGAAAACGCACTATATTTGAAGCTCGATCGGCTGCAGCCTGTGGTCGTCCCGATGCTCTTTTAAAATCGATGTTAGGTACTTGATAGAAATTTCTGGAAAATTGAGATGCAATTTGAGTCTGAACACCTTGCTGATTGATAGGTTTGAAAGCTGCTTCGCCAACTTTTGAGTAACTTGAACCATAAGAAATTCTAGGAGCTCCTAATCCAGTTTCACCCGGGCTTGATACTCTAGTTCCTGGGGATACTGCCTCAACAACGACTCCGTCAAAATCGTTATCAAAAGCACCGTTCGGAAATCTGCCTTGATCTTCACTGATAGAATCTCGTAAAAGTGGTGCTTGTATAGCAGCTGGACTGCCCCCTACTGTTATAGCTGAAGCTGGCGGTAGGTAAGTGCGATCTAGTTTCGCTGCACTGCATACCGCTATCAAAGCGGCTAAGTATACCTGGTGAAAATAAGAAAATTAATATAGGTACTTTATAATTTCATCCTTACATAAGAATTATGTATATACAAAGTAAAGTACAGTAACAGCCATTATACGTCTTACTGCTGTACACAGTTTCCTTATAATTTTAAGAACGCCGAAGGACAAGTTGTCCGAAGATCTAATAGTGCAGTGTCCGCCGCACTGGCCCAATGTGTCTGCCGAACTCCACATTTCTTCAAAAATAATTTTTTTTAATTTTTTTTCAAAACAAGCATTCACACGATATTGTCCTTGACAGTAGAACACGTGGTTATTCTTCATTCACAACTGCAATTAATAATTTCATAAATGCCAGTTTGTACCGGTTAAATTTGTACCCGGGTTTATTGCATGCTGTGTTAAAATATACACCGATATTAGCCAATGAGCTACGGCTCCCTTAATATAAAAATAAAATGTTTCGATTAAATATTTTTACTAAAATAACGATTCAAAAACGTAACATGTTTCTCATTACTGATTAACATTACTAGTACTTCCTTTAACCACATCAAGAAGATATAAAAATTTAAGAGTGTTCGAACGGCGGAATCAAACCCACGACCTTCTAACCAATAGGCTACCGCCGCGTCATATTAAAACTTCTATTATTGAAATAGGCAAGGACATCAAAATTACAAACATACCTTTTTACTATCTCTCTCTAAGTTTAGATAACATTTTTCATAACGTTAGCTTACTACAGAGAAATAGGTATAACGTCAGAAGTAGAACTCGCGCTTTTACTTACTACAGAAAATTTTCGCAATTAATGGAGACAGGACTGGACGCACCAAAGATCATTCAAAATTTTAAATACGTAATAAATCCTATTTCTACAGATGGAGAGAAACTTCCATCTCTAAGCGTCCCTATTTCATCTTAACACCGCGAGAGCTTTTAATCTCATAACACAATTCTTTCCATAGATCACTATTCATCACGTAATTATTCACTAGTTCCGGTTAAGAGATCTATAAGATTACCAAATACATCGTATCCGTGTTGTTTGTGTCCGGATGGTTCAACAAAGAAGGGTCAGCTCGTACTGTGCTTTTGTGAACCAACTTTTGCTTTTTATACCAACACTAAAGTCATCTAAAAAACGTGCTCAGTATTTTTTACAACCTTTACTTTGCGGTTGTCCAACTTACTGCTTTCATGTCATATATTCGTATCGCTACAATTTTAGAAAGACATTAGGTAACACACTCGTCCGAGGCAATGAATCAGGAAATTTGTCGAGATGCACGCATAGATCCCAAGTTCAAGTGGCAACAAATATGCGATACATAAACGATTTAATTGGAAAGAATCAGTTACTTTAATAAACATTGATGGTAAAGATAATGATTTATTTTTTCTATGACATGCGTATCGTGATCGGCTAGTGCTAATTAGTATTACATTCTATAGTAAATTTTTTTTAATTCTTCACTTAATATAATAATCAATGAAATATCATAATCATTGTAGCCCTTCACAAGTCCATTACTAAACATAGACCAAGGAATGCCACAAAGCACTGTCCTTTGCTACCTGCATCCATCGACTTCTTACATTTCCTACCAGGTCACCATTCTATCTTGTGAGGGGCCATCCTATACTTCACTTTCCGATACGAGCCTGCCACTCAAGAACCTTTTTCCCCTATCGCATCGGTTGTCGGTTATTTGAACTATACGGCCGTTTCATTGCTACTTAAGCATACTGGTCCTTTTGAGCTATGTCAGTTACTCTGTTCCTCATGCGGCTATCCTTATTTCGAAGTTTGTCACACAAAGAAACTCCAAGCTCAGCCCTCTTATTAGCTTACTGAGCGATCTGGAGCTTCTTCATACAGCCAGTAAAGAAGAACAAAATAATATAAAAATAAGATCGAGTGATTGCTATTCACGATTAATGCCAACGTGAGACAGTAGATTAATGTTTCTGTTTCGTACGGTGAGTGTTCTCTACACTCACTCTACGAAACTGGGGGACCCTATTTACTAGAAACGAAGCATTCCATCTAAGCCCTTAGGTGTAATATCTGCATTTTGATTTTGAATCGAGGATAGATGTGGATGTGTTTAGGCCAGAGAAACCACTTACAATCATGTCAGCCTTATTTTATAAAAAAGCTCCTTCCCACTGCAAGCCCGAGTGTAGCGGATACTGAACTTATACAACAGGGTAAAAAGTTCTAGTATTTCTTATTCCTCAGAAGAGAGATTCTCCTGAAAGTTATTATTTATAAATTGTATTATTCCTTAAACAACGATATTGATGTTTCTCATTACGCACGTATAATTTAGTTTAGATATAATGTATTAATTATATAATAATAATAATGTCCTCCAGACCTAATTTCGGACAGGGCGGCCTGCCTCAACGGAGGCTAGCCATCGGTGCAGGTGTACTCTCTATTCCCTCACTCTCGTAATCCGATGGGACGGTAAACCGACACGACTGGGAGAGAGATCAGGCGCAGGACCAACGGTTTTACGTGCTTTTCGAGGCGGGGGAGTGAGACACCGCCAACTTCCTGACTCCGGGCAGCTACTCAGAATTTTTTGACAGAAAAACTCAATAATTGATTTTTTGGCCCGACGCGGGATTCAAATCCAGGACCTCATGATCAGCAGTCGCACTACTACAACCACTAGACCAACGAGGCAATCGATTAATTATATATGACATCATGGAATCTGACTTATGTTCCTTATTTCATCAATCGCAACGAAATTCTCTTGATGCTATAATTAACATGTCGTTCCAATTTACCCTTATTATCATATTTCGTAGTTCGTTGTAATTAAAAGCATCAAGTAATCAATAATCAAAGTAAAGCTCTTGTCTCAATAATTATTGATGGTTTAATTTGAATCAGACTTGTTGACATCATAGCTGACTAACACGACCCGTTAGATTTCAAGGCGGTATAATGAAAACAAATAATACAAAAATTTATAATATTCACTTGGTTAAATATTTAACTGCACGTGAATTTTAATAATAAGGTAATGGAGAATTTATTATTGTTTTATTTCCAATAGAGATTCCAACTAGGTACAGCCACCCTGCAGCTATGTTACGGCTGCAATGCTGCAGGGTCGCCTCGACCGAGGAAGGACCACGTTTTCATAGGATCATGATCATCATAATTACATCCTATCAAAGTCCACAGTCAATGTAGGTCTCCACCATAGATTACCTCAAAGGGGGAGATATTTTTTTATCATTTTGCTGTTTTCTCCTGTTTCAATTTTCCTCCATCACCTCATTCAACACCCACGTGGTGATAACTTGATATAAGGTAGTGAATTCTCGCTGCTACTACTTTACCGCGTCACAGAGGATACTAGCGTACAATAGCTACATACTACTACCGTGTTTCGTGGGATAAGAAATGAAATATCTTAGACCACAGTAGCCACAACGTCTCTGCATTTTGATTCTTAATCTAAAATAGATATATATGATGGATACGAGTGTTTATAGGCAGGGCACAAAATTTATTTATCTTTAGAAATATTTCATTAGAATTACACTGTATAGTTTTTTTTAGAAAAGCCATTTTATTGGTAAAATAAAATTACTTTGATATTACTTTGTACTATTTTTTGTACAACGCAACGCGTTACCAATGATATGGATCTGAGGCGTGAATTTCACTGCTGGCCCTATGAGGAAGCTCTAAGTCACTCAGCGATCTATGGAGAGGGTTATAGACTTGATAAACGAAGATATTCGCAGTAGAATCAGAGTAACCGGCATAGTCCAACGGATTAGCACGCTGAAGTGGCAATGGGCCGGTCATATAGCTCGAAAAATCGACAACTGATGGGGAGAAAAGGTTATTGGGTGACAGCCTCGTACCAGTAGTACAAGCGTAGGGCGTCCCTCTACTAGATGGAGTGACGACCTGGTAAGACATGCAGGAAATCGATGGATGCAGGTGGCTCAGGACCGTGCTTGGTGGAATTCCTTGGGGGAGATCTATGTTCAGCAGTGGACTTGTAAAGGGCTGTAATGATGATGATGATAATGATTTTTTGGTAATAAAATCACATTTGTAATACTATAGACCTAAAGCCGTACGTATTTAAGGAATAAATTACAATATTATAGTAAAATTTGTATTGTTTTCCTTTTATTTTAAAAAGCTATAATTTCATACAAATTACATTTAAGAACTTTTACAAAAGAAATGTAATGGACAGGCGTTTAACATTCATAATCTCTACTTTATATCAAGGTTACGGTTAAGTATTCCTTTTTTATACAAGCGTGCGTAAACTCATAGTTTCCATAAGAATTAAATATCATAACATAAGGGCTAATGCACTACCTGTTTAAAATTAAGTGCATGTGCATTTATTATACATAGTAGTCTTCATGCGTCACCCAAAAATAATTAGACGTAATTTGCCACTACTACGTTATTATCCTGGCTGTCATCCACTTTAAACTGAAAACCAAAAGGAATATCACAATCTCGAGCTAAAAAATCATTTAAAGTTAAATTAAATAGTTCTATCAAAAATTTCTTGCCCCATTTCACCCTTAGGGGTGGAATTTTTCTTAAAATTTTTATGGGACCACCGCTGAAGTATATAATATATAAATATATATATATACAAGAGAGGCGCACGTTACGTAGTACTTTATGTGCTGATGATGATGTTGGGAATGATATGAAAATGAATATATTGTTAATTATAATATATGTTTCTATATATGTACATATATATATATATATATATATATATATATATATATATATAGATATATATATAGGGTAGGGAGGGGGTATAGCGCTCACTGTGTAATGGCGCTCACCTCTATATCTCTGTCAAAATGAAACGTAGCAACACGCCACGTCGCGCGAAGCGCGGGGGGAGGGGGCCTCTAAGAGACAGCGATACAAACGGACAATCAGCTCGCGTCATACGACCGTGAAGTGCGTTTCTTCGTTTACGGCCGCGCTGATCTAATTTTTGGTTAGGTATTTTTTTGGCGGTAAGTCCAAAACTTTAATGCTTATTTAATTATTAATTTTACTTTTCTGACAATAAAACTATTCTATTTTGTGATAATGCAATCAATTTTCAACAATTGTGTAGGATTTTTTTAAATTTCAAATGAATTACAAAACGACCGTTTGGGGTTATACCGCTCATCTGAGCGCCATTACCCCTTAGTGACCTATTTTTTTATTGTTTTAGATATGCCAAGAAATCGTCAAAGGACCACCGCTAAAGCGGCTTGGACAGAAGAAAACCTTCAATCTGCTAAAACTGCGATTGAAGGAGGTTTGTCCAAAAGAAAAGCCGCAAAACAATATAACATACCATTTACTACTTTGAGAGATCGACTAAAAAATGAAAACATGAGCAACCCAAGACTAGGACGCAAGCCTGTTTTCACCCAACAGCAAGAATCTGAAATTGCTGAACAAGTTAAGATGCTGGGTTCGCTATACTATGGACTCAATGTCGCAGATTTGCGTAAACTTGTTTATAAATATGCTGAGCTCAACAATATTAAAAACAATTTTGATCAAAGCAGCAAAACAGCTGGATTGGATTGGGTACACGCCTTTATGAGACGCAATCCTTCAGTTTCTATACGCAAAGCTGAAGCGACAAGCTTAAATAGAATTTCTGCCTTCAACAAAGAAGAAGTAACACATTTCTATGATAAGCTTGGGGACTTAACGGAAAAACATAAGTTTATTCCAAACAACATTTACAATGCTGACGAAACTGGTATCACCACGGTGACAGACCCAGGAAAAGTGCTCGCCGAAAAAGGACAAAGAAGAGTCGGATCTGTTACAAGCGGCGAACGAGGAAGCAACATAACAGTTATGTGTGCGATGAGTGCAGCCGGAAACTTTATACCGCCTATGTTTATTTTTGCCAGACAGAGAATGACGCCTTTATTAGAAAAAGATGGACCAGCTGGTGCATTATATACCAACTCTAAAAATGGCTGGATAAACGAAGAT